TCAATAGAGCTCCAAATGAGCCAAAACTTCTGGTTCATGATTCCCTGTAGTGAATGAGTGGAAAATCAACGGCAAAGTATTTTGGCCTCTCCCAAAGGGACAGGCCGTTACCGCCACGTAGGGAGAACGTGCACATCTCTGCGCGAGGCTGCCGTAAGGCATGAACGGGGATCGAACCCGTGCTCTTCGGTTTACGAGAAACACACTGCCAACAAAACAAAGGACTTCATAAGGGGGAAAAAAGTGGAAGGTTTTAGACTGGCCTAGTCAATCACCAGACCTTAACCCAACTGAGTGTGCATTTCACCTCCTGAAGAGTTGACTGAAGGGAGAAACACCGCAAAACAAACAACTGAAAGAAACCGCGGTACAAGCCTGGAAAAGCATCACAAAAGAAGAATGCAACAGTTTGGTGATGTCAGTAGGTTGCCGACTTGATGCAGTTATTGCAAGCAAGAGATATGCAACCAAATATTAAGTGTTATTTAACTCACTTTAAGCCTATCTGTTCCAATACTTTTGCTCACCTAAAAAATTGGGTGGTCTGCCACCAAAGGTGCCACAGGTCACCCCACTTTTTAAGGTACCAAACGTAATTGGACAAACTAACATAATCATAAATTAAATTGTACTTTTTAATACTTGGTTGCAAATCTTTTGCAGTCAATGACTGCATACAGTCTGGAACCAATAGAAATCAGCAGATGCTGAGTCTATTCCCTAGTGATGCTCTGCAAGGCCTTTACTGCAGCTGTCAGTTTTGCCTTTGGTAAATGAATACATGCTCAATTGGATTCGGGCCATTGCAGAACATTCCACTTCTTTGCCTTTATGAAGTCTTGGGTTGCTTTTAAAATATGCTTTTGGTTATTGTCTATGTACAGTGTGAAGTAGCGTCCAATGAGTTTTGATGCATTTGGCTGAATCTGAGCACATAATTTAGCCCTATACACATAAGAATTCATCCTACTACTTTTGTCCACAGTCCCAACAACATGAAGATGAGCAGCTATACTTACCCACACCATAAAATGAGGTGGTATGTTTCAAGTTGATTTTCCACTCTCGTACTGGTCTACTGGTGGTACCTAAGACGAAACTGGCCACTACAAGAGGCAGATCTTTCAGCATCATGGCCACCATACTCTAAATTTCCATGCCAGAATATCTCTGTGACTGGTTTTCTCTACTCTGTTTCAACTCTAGGCTAAAGACCTACCTCTTCACCCAAAAAAAATCACCTCTCCTCCTCCTAGCTTTTTGTTAAATTGTAACGCAGCCTTGAATATGAAAAAGGAACTATATAAATTAAGCTATTATCAAATAATTATTAGGATTGAGGATCTCTCAAAGAGCTAAGCTACAAACAAGGAATCCTTATAAATGGGAATTACACACACAACTCTGGTCTAAGCTTTGGGGAGTTAGAAGTCAAGAGATACAGATTAGAAGAAGCCATGCATTACACTCAGTCCTGACCAGTATTAGGCCAAAACTTGCAAGTGGAGATGCAGGGGATTGAACCCTGGACCTCATACATGCAAAGCATGC